TCTCTCGTGTCATTAGTGATAGGACCAGGGGGAATGGTTTCAAGCTACGGCAGGGGAGATTCAGGCTGGACATGAGGAAGTATTACTTTTCAGAAAGGGTGGTCAGGCACTGGAATGGACTGCCCAGAGAGGTGGTGGAATCACCGACCCTGGGGGTGTTCAAGGAAAGACTGGATGTTGTGTTGAGGGACATGGTTTAGTAGGAGCTTGGGAATAGGTGAACGGTTGGACTGGATGATCTTTTAGGTCTTTTCCAACCTTAGTGATTCTATGATTCTAGGTTACAATAACTAAATATTATGTTATTCTTGTAATGCCCATGAATACCTACGTGAGTTAGAATTTCAATTTTGTAGCATGCAAGATTACACTTGTCAATTGTAAATGTTCTCAGTATTTAATTTTATTTGCAGTGATGGAAACTCACAAAATACATGTGGACAAACAAGAACTGAAAAAAACATCAGAGATTCTAGGGGTAAATTTTATCTTTTTTTTCCACAAATATTAGTGCTTTTTTCTATAGTAAATCCCCTCTCTAGTTCACAAAGAAATGTAGATTGAAGGTATACGAGCAATCCATTAAACCAGCTGATAGCCAGTAGTGGGGTATCTCATTTATAAGTAGTAGTCCAATATACCTAATGTAGGAAGTAACAGAATATTGAAGAAAATAGTGTAAAAGGGATAATTCTGATGTTCTGTAATTTACAGTTGAGACTCAAAGAACTCGAAGAGGAAGCCCATCAAATTGCTGGAGAACGATTCCTTTTGACCAGCAGTAGTCAACTTAGAGAAGTATATTCATATTACTGTCATTACTTAAGCTATCTATTCTGTAAACTGTTAATGATGCAGGAGAATTATAAAGCATATAAGTTTGTTCATACAACTTCTGATTCTTTTTCTTCTATGTTCTAATTATATTTTCTGATTATAATGGAAGACATCTCAGTTAACTCATAAATCTGACCATTTGGCTAATCTGTATTTGAATGAAGTTAAATAATGCACTTTATTTTAGTGAGTGCACTATTTTTAGAAATAAGATGTTAAAAGTAAAGATCTGATCTTTTTACTCCTGTGTTATTTTTCTCTTTTCTGCAGCATAACTCTATTTTACTTGGAATCTCTTTTGTAGACTGGAGTTCAGGAATCTAATCATTTTCTTTTCTTTTTCATCACTTGAAGCACTGAAGTCTTTTTCTTAATGTAGGTACTGTTTGAGAAGTTAAAACTGCATACGCTGTGTGAAAAAATTCCCAGAACTGAAAGACAGCAAGTTGCATCCACCTCAGAAGTTGTGGTGAGATGAGATTATTCAACAATCTGCATTATTTAAAAAAACTTCTAAGTTCTATGTCAGTGAAGCTGTAATTTGTCTAGTTTCCTTTCCAACCTTCATTTATTTTTATGTTACGTTAATCACACTTGATTTACTTATGCTAGGAATGACAGAGAGCAACCAAGAATGGAAGGAGAATTCTGCTGCTTAAGATAGAAAAAACAACTTTGTACTGAATACACATTTGTCAGAAACAAGGGAAACACTTTGTAGTTTCCTGATCTGAAATTCACGGTACCTTGTAGAACTTCATGTTGACTCTACATGTCAATCTACATAACTATAGGCATGATAGTAAGAAAAAAATTACGGTAGAAAATCTTTATTCTGATAGAATTGCATAATTTTTTTTAGCCTGAATGTGTAGTTCCAGAAATTTTTGTTGTACTTCTACATATATAATCTCATTTGATTCTTTTTATTTACAAATTTTTATGTAAATTTATGATCTAAGAAATCTTGAAATCTCCTGGAGCTTGTACGATGGGACAAATGGGAGCTCTGCTGTTAGATTTTGATTGTATGAATACACACTTAAATATATGTTTATTACCCATTCATGTATGCATGTGTAAATATGTATTGCGTACTTTTCCATGTTCTCTCTTGCTTAGATGCTGTCTTGCACAAAAATGAAACAAAGGACCATAAACAATCCCCTCACTCCATGTGCCTTATTGTTTCCTATGTTCTTGAGGAAAAGTTTCACGTCTACTTGTTGTCTCTCTGAAATGGGAAGGGAAACAAAATGCAAGGGGATAATCTCCAGCCCTCCTGCTGAAGGCAGGGATGAATGAAGGCTCCTTCTGGGCCTGTGATGAGATTGTTTGAAGGACATAATAGCTTAGCATATATTTCATCCTCTTTCATCTTGACAAGTGTATTTCATCCAGCAGAACTTCTGCTATATTTTACTTAACAGTTAAATATCAAATACTAATAGTTGTTCAAATGAGGAAGTTAAGATAGTTAAATAACACCACTTAACAGAAAAACATAACAGTAATACAGATTCTTTATCTTACAGCTCAGTAAGTTACAAGATCTTCATCCTCTGCCTAAGCTTATGTTAGAATACCGGCAGGTGAGTTGTTACATGACTGTATGGGAACTGCTGAATCACGGCCTGAACCTCTGATTGATCACCTGAGGCGAGCAATGAGTCAGCCAGGGGAGCACAGGTGAAGGCAATTCACCTGTGCTGCTGGAAGGGGTGGAGCCTGGCTGCACCTCTCTTAGATCCATTTAAGAGCTGACTGCCAGTGGGAAAGGATCTCTTCTAGAGATCCCTCCTCTGGAGTTTTGCAGCGAGTCCAGGATGCAGGTAAGCTTTCTATCTATTCTGTTTTTGTTACTATAATCTGCTTTGCCAAACTCTCTTGTTTATTTCATAATAATAACATCTTTATATTCATTGGCTATACACATGATGTAGTTATACTCAAGCAAAATTAGCAAAAAATATAACTTATTAACTACTAAACAAACAAGGTGACAAGAGCCTCCTGAAAATCCAAAATTACCTAGTTAGCTCTTATACTTTGTTTGGGTATTTAGTACATCAGTTTCCAATTTAGTTAAATAAATAAAATCCACTCTTCTATTTTTGTGCTGCTTTTTTGTGTGGTTCATTGATGGGGAGGTATAAGGTGTAAGATTCCAATAGGACCTTTGCTGTTGTCTTCATAGACCTGCTTTAGTCTATATGTTAGCACTTCAGTAACTTATTTTAGTAGGTCAATAGTGAGTGTGTATATAAATACTTTTCCTAGGGTAAAACTATCTTTTAAAAGAGTCTACGAAACAAACTCATGCTCTTGAGATTAAGGCTTTTGATGTGTAAATCTTATTGTTATGTATAAGCATTTGTCTAATGCTCTTACGTAATTCAGGTTCGTAAAATGAAATCAACCTATGTGGATGGGCTAAGAACATGCATGAGAAAGGTAATATATATTAAAAACAACTCTAAAACTTGGTGTTTAAAATACATCAGACTTAAGAAATGATTGCAGTACTTGCAGTTCAAGAACTTTAATGTATGTATAATTAGGAAGTATTTCTTTTTAGATTTGTATTTCTAATTGCAGTGAGTTTTAATTAAGTTTATATTAACTAGAGAAATACGTCCTTTTTAGATGTATGTAATCACCCTCTTTTGGGGGGATGATGGGAGGTATTATTTTATTTGACTGCAGGGATTTATTTGCCCTACATGGAATCAGACAGGAACTGTGACTGGCAGACTTTCATCCAAACGTCCAGTAAGTGAGCCTTTTAAGATTTAAATTAAAATTTTAAAAACAATGTCATCTATATACCATGCTACATACTTTGACTTAAGAAATGTTCTAGTAAGTCTAGCAATTGCCATATTGTATGTAGATGGGAGACAGAAAAATTTATTAATGAGTACTATTCTCTAGAACAGTTATTTAATGAGTAATTTCCATGATCATTTCATCAGAAACTTTTTTTTTTTTTTTACCTTAAATTGATGTAGGAAGTGAGAACTGTAAGCCATGCATGTACCTTCTAGATTGCCACTGAATAACTTCTTTATAATGAATTTCTGGTATTCATAAATTCTTCCCTGTAAAGGACTGGTGAACCCTAGTATATACCCAGGGGATTACAGAGAAGAAGAAAGAGCACAAGAAGCCCTTCTCTTCTGGAATTTGACTTCAGGCCTTTCAGTATAGAATCACCCTGTTACACTGGAAGTCTTTCCAGGTCTCTTTATGGCTCTTTGTGCTTTGTTTTGGCTATAATTTTTTCTGTGTATACTTGTGGCTGGAGTGACATTCGACATTCTGGACTACTGGAAGCTTTGCTTTTGTGTAAATTCAAATAGGAAAACATCTCTATGCTACATCTCGCTTGCAGTTTTGGTTGTTTATGTTCCAAACAAAGGTTTCTTTAGGTGGATATTATTTGTTTTGTAAAGGAAGTGACTACATCTGTCTCCTTCCCTCTTTGACTCCATTTAATGTTTTAGTTTTTATTTGCAGGGGAAATGACCAGACATGAGGCGCAGAACAGGATTTCTTTTTCAAATAAACTCTGTGCTCTTCTTTCAGATGAATCCACATATGGATGTATGGATGATGTATATTTTTGCCTTTAAGTGGGTTTCTTTCAAAAGATAAGCTTATTCACATGATTTTTTTTTTTTTAATGTTTCTGTTGCAGCAACTTAGAGAAGGTTTCTTGGTAGAACTTGAATTCAGTGGCTTTCCATGTATACATCTATTTTAGTTTAACTGCACATTCTTTCCTCTCATCTGATTGCTTCTTCTCATTTGATTCCTCCTCCTTCAGCATGTTCCATAGCAAAACTTTTGTCACAAGTGTTATATAATGTATGTATCATGTAATGCTGTACCTCACAAAAGAGACTCGCATTTGATATTAAGGTCTACTGCTGTAGAACACTGCGTATAATTGTGTGCTATGATTTGGTTTGAGATATAAACTTCAGTACTAGAATTAGATATTCTATATTAAGATTTTTCCCTCCAGTCTTCTGCATCAAAGAGAACTGTTACAAATTTACACTTCTATACTTCAGAATATGTTTCTATCTTTTAAATTAAAAAGCATAAAGCAATGGGCTCTGGGGGTGTTTCTTTTCTTTGATTATCAAAAAGTTACGCTGGAGATGAGCAAAATTCTTCATCTCCTTAGAGCAGTTGGGAAAGAAAAAAAAGTAGTGAAATAAAAATATTGCTATTTCCCTCTAGGAAAAGTAGTTTTACCAGCTTGTCCAAATGGACAAAGAAATAAAATAATTTAGCTTATCAAAGTGCACAGTGGCCTTTAGTTTGTAAATCAGAAATGTCATTAGAAAAAGAAATTAACTTGGGTATGTGCTCAAATGTGCTCAAAGAAGAGCCACAGGAAACCTAAAATACTGAATATATTTCAGTCTCTCTAGTAGTGTCTTCTGTTATTGAATGCATTATAGAGAGTTATTTGGTTGTTTATTAGAAGTCATGTGTTACTATCAGTGTCTGGAATGTGAATAATAAATCACTGGTCTGGTTTTAGTTCTGATAAAATAGAAAATCTCTTGAAGAGACCTGTACGTGTATCCACACAGTGTATTTCTTCTGGGCTGTCTTCTGGAGTGAAGAAATGAACTGAGTCATTTAAAACTCAAGTGTAGCTTTGGGATAGTTTGTCCTGTGGCTTATGAGCAGTGTGGATGAGATGCTGTGTATTTATCTCTCTCCCTTACCACTATTTCAGTAGGTTTTACATCCTTAACATACCCACACACGTGCACGCTATGCAAGACAGGCTGTGAGAATCAGGCAGTCAAAACTATTGGCACAGCTCTTGAATTTCAGGCGTTTCATTCCAGGTCTCACTGTGTTACAGGCTGTGACACTACCAATTTTTCATTGTTTTCCTGAAAGTTTAGATCCCAGCATAAACAGAATTTCAACTTGGTACTTCAGGTTTGAATGGCAGCTCACCTCTACTCAAGCATCCTACTTCTGTCTCTTTCTTCCATGATTCATAGAAGGTTTGGACAGAGCTGATGCTGAGAGTAAAATGTAAAGCCATTGTCTAGTTTTCAAATTGCACTGTTATGTATTCAGATTTGTAAGCACTTTTTGGTATCCTGACCTAGCAACATGAATGATTTCTTCAAATGGGCTGATAGTGTGGATCTTACGTTTGCCTTGGTCTTACTTGAGTGTGTTTTGTCATTTTTTCTTTTTTTAAAAGTATGCTTACTGGAATGCCTTGAGGATAGGGGGAAGTCGGATATGTTCAAGGTTTATGTAAAATATCTTTCCAAAAGTTTCTTTCAGTGCCATTTAAACTACAAATTCGTTTTTAGGTAATTATGCTCTGACACTGACTTCACTAAAAAGGGATGGCTGTTTTGCAGTGACAGTCTATGTGCTCTCTTGAACCTTTGCATCAAAGAAATTCAGTGCCATATTTTCTACTAGGTGCAAACATCTATCACTGATATGCTGATAAAGTCAGAGCACTCATGCCATTTCTTACAGTCGGTCTGCATTCAAAATATTTTCCTTTTGTCATGTTTATTTTCAGTATTTTAGTTTGTTTCAATGCTGTTGAGTTGCATGCTGGTTATGATTGCAGTAACAGTACTAAAATAGTATCTCACTTTGCGTTTAGAGTTTTTACAATCTTACTGCTGCTTTATTGTTAGAAGTGTGTTCTAGGTTCAGGACTCAACAATTGAATGAGCTGCATTTACAGCAGTGGAGACATTTCTCAATTTGTTCTTTCTTACTCCTCAGTTGTTTTTTTGTTTTGACAGAGAAAAATACTGGAGAGCATAAGCGTGTTGTGAAGACTGTAGTTCAGTTGCTTTTGTGATAAGAGTTTACATTATGTTAACATTGCAATAAGACACTGTTAGTTATGAGTGTGACAACAACAGCATGAAGTCACTGTTCGTAGTAGTAGCATGGGTTCGTGAAGGGCAGGTCCTGCTTGACCAACCTGATCTCCTTCTATGATCTAGTGACCCATCTGGTGGATGAGGGAAAGGCTGTTGATGTGGTCTACCTAGACTTCAGCAAAGCCTTTGACACTGTCTCCCACAGCATTCTCCTGCAGAAGCTGGCAGCCCGAGGCTTGGATGGGTACACTCTTGGCTGGGTAAGGAGCTGGCTGGAGGGCCGGGCACAGAGAGTGGTGGTGAATGGAGTCAAATCCAGCTGGCGACCAGTCGTGAGTGGTGTTCCCCAGGGGTCGGTGCTGGGGCCTGTCCTCTTCAATATCTTTATTGATGACCT